CAAGTGACTACCAATTAATCTCACCGTTAGATCGATTATGTTGATCCAACGGTTATATTTATTTCCATTTTGTATGGTCATGGTTTCCCAAATTTAATACTTTATATTTATTTCCACCTTTGTATGGTTAATTTCCCATATTTAATGCTTTCACTTTAAATATGGAAAATCATAACCATACTAAGATGGAAATAAATATAACCGTTGGATCAACATAATCGATCTAACGGTAAGATTAATTGGTAGTCACTTGGTAGTAGCACAACTTGATTGTCACAATATCATTCCCCTATTTTGAGATTGTCGACAAAATAAAAAAAGGAGCGCAAGTAGATGACGAAAATGACCATCTTCTAACCCTATTCGTATAACGTGCAATATTATTTAATCAAGAGTTGCTTTCGTAATTTCATTTTATTTTTTTAGTAATATTTTACCTTTAATCAAACATAGACTCGATAAACTTAAACTAATTTTTCCGATAATATTTTGACAACATTTTGGCCTAACAAATAAATTTTTTAAAACTTTATTAAAAGACTCATTTTCTGGTCGTATTTCTATATTTTTGTAATTTTTTTCTCATTTACCAAACACAAAAAAGTGTAAAGAGCAAGAAGAGAGACCAAATGAGATTAGGGATAGAGAGGCCATACCACAAAGCATGCCTCCATCGCCGCCGTTGGTTCCTACACACCGTTGATCTTTGGACAGTCTGGCAGTGGCAGCAATGATTCCTTCATTTTATTGCTTACGCGCTCTCCCAAGTCCCACCACACTCGGAGCCACGCATCCCAAATCCTCAGCCTTACAAAGAAAAATTGAACTGCTAACGTTTACTTCATTCCATTTTACTTATTTATTCTTTTAATAAATTAATACTTATTACAAAAATATTGAAGATTTACAGCTGAAGAACATTAAACCAAGAAAAATAAATATCGAGTGATGCCATAGCAAACCTAGAAAAAAAAATTAATGTCTGCACACAACAGAAGATTATTCATTTCGTGACACCGTTAATTTCCGTCAATTAACGGTTATGATTTTCACAAATTAAACTCATTAATTTATTATTAATTCATAATAAATTATAATCGTTGATTGACGGAACGGTATTAAGATATGATTGTAAGAAGTTGTAAAAAAAAAGTTGTGAGTATAACCTACCTCAAAAAAAATATAAACAAAAAAAGAAAAGAAATCTTTAACTTAATATAAAAAAAGTAATCAAGAATCAATTAAACGGTTACAATAGAACATTTTCGGTCTCAATAAAAATTACGAACCTCAATTTCATCTCTTAGGAAAAAAAACCTACTTCTGATCCTCAGAATTCAAAAATAGATCCAGATAATCAAAATTATGGTCCTTTGAAATTCAAAAAGACCCACATTAATTCTTCAAAAGGACTAACGTGAATGTATTTTGGAATTTAAAAGTATCATGAGTTGAATTTTTTTAAAAAGATTAAATTGAATCCTGTAATTTTTGTTGATGATCCAAAATATATTTTATTTGTTTTTCTCAAAAAAATTGTGTGTGCATTTGTACACACTTGCACCTACACGTGTCCGCTACCGGAGTGATGTTATTTTGACATATCAATGACAAACAGCTGTCCTATGTAAAATATCGATAAAATAAAAGCGCGTGGCATGAGCGAGGTTGGAAGTAGATAATAACGTGTGCAACATTTTTTGGCTGGCTGACCTAATCAGAGAAAACAAACAGGCAAATGACGTAGCTCCAACGTGCCACCATATGTTCTTCTCATTTCTCACGCGGTCTTCAACTCCTCGTCACACGAAACTAACCTGAGCTGTCCATTGATTCCACTTCCGAAAGACAACGTTTCATTTTATTTTCAATTTTGTTTGTTAACTTATAATAAAATAACGGTAATATATCTCTATGAAACGGGAGAGACATTTTATTTCATGCGGAGACATTTTTGCAGGAAGAGTGACCATTTTGTTACATTTGACAAAAAAATTTACCAGACTGTCACGTCAATAGTAAATTTTATCAAAATGTCACGTTGTACCCTTAGCCGTCGTTGAAGAAGACTGAAAATAAAACTAATTCGCATTATCTTATCTTAACTCTTAATTATTTTCAGACTTCTTCAACGACGGCTAAGGGTGCAGCATGGCATTTTGACAAAATTTACTATTAGCGTGGCAGTTTGGTAAATGTTTTTGCCAAGTGTGGCAAAATGGTCACTCTTCCATTTTTGCATGGGGCCTCAATTTTTTTTATTAAAAAAAGAGAGCATATTTTCGTATACTTTTACAGGAGAGAAAACATCGCCTGTTATATAAGTTAAAATGTCTCTCTTATTAGAGAAGAGACATATTTCCCATAAAATAAAAATTGTCTCACATTTAAATAAGGATCACTAGACAATTCAATATGTTAAGAAGTCAAATGTTAGCTTGTTATTTTTTTTTTTTTGAGATTATCCCCCGGTAATTTTATATATTTTTTATGGACTAATTTTGAATTCGAAACAGATATAGGATTAAGGTTTTAATCACTTCCAAAGATGATATTAGAAAGAATCGAACATATGCTTTCATCTAACTTACTCAACTCTTATATGTCAATAGAGCTACCATCATTTTATCAGGTGCTTGTTACTTTAATTCTATGTGCATCATATTGTTGAGAACCATATAATTTTTTTAAAGCTCACATTATTTTTTTCAAAGTTTTAGCGCTTATTTATTTAACTTCAGATGGAGCAATAGTTGAATAACTTTTTTAAAGTAATAAGTTTGAAATTGAAGCTCCTGATATTATAAATAAAATTTATCTGAAGTTACAATTCGTTATCACTTTATAATCAATCAATATTAAAATTAAAATTTATATTAAGTCAATAGTGAATATTATTAAATATATTTTAAGTAGTCTATTTATGATCCCAAAAAAAGTAGTATAGTTATGATGACTTGTATTAACTTTTTTTATATAAGCATTAAACCTACTATGAATTAATAATATGAGAGATGTTATACTTACTACTTATTTTTTTTACTACTTGTTACGGCTAAATCTTAACCGTTGATTTTCGTCAATCTAACGGTTATAATTTATTGCAAATTAATAATTAATTAATAAGTATAATTCCATAAATTACAACCGTTAGATTGACAAAAATCAACGATTAAGATTTGGTAGTAACAAGTAGTAAGAAAAATAGGTAGTAAGTATAACAGTTTCCTAATATGTATATATATATATATATATATATATATATATATATATATATATATATATATATATATATATATATATGTTTACATTTTTGTAGCTGCTGTATATGCATCAATTAAATACTTTCCATATATATACTTGAAAGCATTAAATGTGGGGAATCATAACCATACACTTGTCGTTGCTGTACGTAAAGCGGCTGCATAAATGATTTTACCATATATATATATAGGGAAAAGTGTTTGTCTTTTTAAATGAAATAATTTGTGTCATTTTACTCTCACAAAAAGGAAGAACTCACGCCTTTATTTTTTTTGGTTCACTCTCTCTTCCTCTTTATTTATCACTTTCTCTCACTTAAAATGACATAACTTTACATAATTTAAAACCACACACCTTTTTTTTCTATATATATGAGAAAAATATTTCTCATGTAGTTTGAGATATATTTATCTTCGTCCACCCAAAAATTACGTTATTTTGTTTATTTATTTTTATATTAACTGATTCACCTTTGAATAGTTATGATTTTTTTCTTTCGGTTCCTTTATCATCATTTATTATTTTTTGTATAGTTATGATTTAGTAGTCGAGTATAAAATTATCTCAAATAACTTGAGAAACGATAAGCCTATATAGAGAGAGACTTTGTGTACAAGTCGTTTGTTATTATGGGTAATTACACATTATAAATGTAATATAGAAGGTTCATATTCTTATTCAACATGCATTATGGTTAAAATCGCTGGTTTCAATTAGAGCTGGCAAAACGGGCTCAACTCGGCGGGTCAACCCGCCCAACCTGCTAAACGGGACGGGACAAGCTGAGTTTTTCAACCCAACTCAAAAGTGGGGCGGGCTCATTTTTTGGCGGGTTGATGGCGGGCCTAGGCGGGTCAGTGTAAAATAAGCTCGGGCTGGCGGGCCAACCCGCCAAACGGGGCGGAGCGAGATGAGTTTTTGAGCTCACTTTTAAAAGTAGGGCGGGTCGGACTGACTCATTTTTTGACGGGTTGATCCCGCCCACTTTGTCACCTCTAGTTTCGATACACGTAAGGAGTGAAAATACTTTCATTCCTCTGCACAGACAAATGACTTTAGGGACAAAGATGGCTCTGTATGATTTCTGTTATCCATAACAGTTTTTAAGTTTTAAAAATAAAAAAATTGTTTGGAAAGAGTGTTTTCATAGTATCATTTTTTCAAAATGTTATCTACTTTTTTGTTTTTAAAATTGAAAAGGTAAAACAATTAAGGGATGGTTTCAAAAGTTTTTTTTTTTTTTGATGTGACATTCTTGTAAATATGAAAATTTATTAATGACATTTTTATAATTAAATTAATTTTAATTTTAAATTATTTCACAGTGACAATCTTGTAAATATGAGAATTTATTAATGACATTTATGTAAATAATTATAACTTTTTTTTTATGTAAACTACAATCTATTTATAACTTTAAAACTAACTATATTCAAAAAAAAAAATTATTGGTTTTTTACTCTAAAATCAGTTTTCAAAATTTATCCTATTTTAAAAACAAAAAACAAAAAACAAGAACACATTCAAAGACACCCATAGATTTTCATTTAGTATAGAGCAGTTTTATATTTTAAAACTAAATTGTTAATTTACTTATACGTCTGAAAGATTAAGGTTAAATTTATAATTTGATTCTTGCAATTGTTTCCAATGTATAAATGCCACGTGGTGCTTAGAGTGGATAAGTTTTCACTTGTTGAATCTATGACCTATATATAAGCACCCACCCACCATCCCTCTCGTCGTAATCACATAGCGAAGTCGTTGAGCGGTTACGAGTAGGCAATTAGTAAAGTTTGTTTTACAAAATTGAGGTTGTAAGTTAGGAAAAGGTAAGAAAAAAATGGCCGACGACAGCACAGCCACCTGCATCGACATCCTCCTTGCCATCATCCTCCCTCCTCTTGGGGTTTTCCTCAAGTATGGTTGCCAGGTATATAATTGTACTGTTTCTGTTACTCAATTGAACCTCTCTTCCTTTTTCCTTTTTGTTTTAATTTTGTCTGTGTAATTCATACGTTGTTGTTGGTCCGTGTTTTACAGGTGGAGTTTTGGATCTGTTTGGTGCTCACCATCTTTGGGTATCTTCCTGGAATTATCTATGCTGTCTACGCTATCACCAAGTGATTTTGCCCTTCAGTTTTTGTAAGTATCGCTTTTCTTTTCGCGTTCTATATATCTTTGTCTTTTAATCAAGACAAAATATTTTACAATTCAATTATCATGTTCTTACTTTTTTATTTGTGTGAATTTTTTTTTTCTTTTTATTTTTAATAAATGTGCGACTGAGTTACAACATGAGAATTTCATGGAACATGAAAAATTCAAATCGATAAGAATTTCATGCAACATGAGAAAATTAAATATCTTTGATTAATTATACTATGGTTTCCCAAAAGTACAGCACTGCTTTAAATTTAGATTCAACTTATATATGCTGTAAATTATTCTTTAATAATTGTATGTGTTAATTGTTGCAATATTTTATTAATGAATTCTCTCTTTATATATAATTGTTACTGGATATTTGTAATTAAGATCCAAACACATGATTTTATTCAATAATCACAGAAGGGTTATTTTTGTACATTGTTATTCGTTGATCATTTTATACCAATTTAATTTTGCAATGATGAAATTAGTTTATAAAGATTGCCGAGATTGCCGAGTCGCGCATAAAAAATATTTAGATGGAATTTTGTTATAGGTTGGGTTGGGATGGGATTTTGGAATATAAATTGGGAGTAAGTGAATAAATAATGGTCCCTTTGACGTGAGGTAACTGAATAAGAGAAGATGAGAGCATGTATTTAATTTTTTTCTCTAGTATTATATTTAAAAAGAGTTTAAAGTTTTAATTTATTTCAAATCACACTAGTGATAAAGCGATAAATTAATTAAAATATTTAAAAAAAAAAATTGTGTGTTTCATTCGCACAAATTTGATGCTGTCTTCTTGCTAAATAATTGTGATTTGGTGGTACTTACTTTGCTTTGCCTTACTTTTTGCGTTGTTAGATGTCCTTCAACAATTAGTGGACCTTACTTTTTGTTTTATCAAGTTTCCTTCAACAATTAAGAGCCCGTTTGTTTACACTTCTGGGAAAAAGTAATTTTTATCTCTTTCTTATTTTAGAAGTCTTTTTTACAAAAGTTAGAGCTATTTATATTTTTATAAAAATATTTAGTTTTTGAAAAAAATATTTCGCTTTTGACTTCTGCTTTTTTTAGAAGTTAAAATTTTTAGCTTCTGGAAAAAGTAGGTTTTTGACTTTTTTGTGACTTCTACTTTTTTTTAAAAGCAGACATCCAAATGAACTAAAACTGAGAAGTGCTTTTTTTCAAGAAAAAAAAGCAGCTTTTGAAGAAAAAAAAGCTAATCCAAACGGGCCCTAAGACGTGGACCTTCCACTAACTCATAAAAATCAATGCTTTTGTTGACAGGTGGGCAATGAACAGTTGTCAAGGGCGTTTGTGTCTTTCAACTCGGATATTGGTGTTCAAGTATAACCGTATGATCTTTGATGGACAAAAGTGATTCTTTTTTATCTCTTATCAGTGTCAGTGTGTCACTATTCCTTTTTTTATTGTCCTGTTTTTACATTGTCTGTTCTTGTCCCATGTGGGAATGAAAGGGTGGAGCTTGTGGCCTCTAAGACATGGTAATCGAATTGAAATATACTAGTTGGTCAGTGTCAATCATCTTGTTCATGTTTCTCAGACCTTAATATATTTATTTAATGTCAATTGTGCTATTACTAAATTACTCTTAAATTAATAAAATCTCGATTTATTCTTATTATTCCATTTTTTAATCTTGATAGCGTTTTTGTGGTTGCAATTTTTGTGGTTTTCCCACGCTTTCTTTCTTATCTTTATTGCTTGCCAATAGTATCGCCTAATAGAATTGACAAGGGGAATTAGTTGGACCATGCAAATATACAAAATGTCTTATCATTTTTGAGTTAGTAAGAAATTATGATTTAAATTGATTAAATGAATTTGGGTTAGTTTTTTCAAAAAAAGGAAAAACTGTTTAATCTTAACCTAAATAATATATTCAAATTAAAATGTTTTGAGTCGGATCATTGTGCCAAGCATATATTAAGTTTTTTTAAACATAATCTAAAAGATAGAAAATAGGAAATTCGAAAGATTAGTTTAAAATTTATTAAGATTCTAATTAAACTTATCGAATTCTATTTAATTATTTATATATATTTGATTTAACTTTGATATCCGAACGCATTTAATTTTTAAATTTTAAGCTGAGCCGAGTTAGTAACTTTGCGAGTCTATTCAGATTTGCATCTACTGCTACGGGTGAGCTGTTCTCTATTGTTTGGCTATAAAATCAAAACAGGGGATTAAAATTAGTTATGCAATTAATGTAAAATATATTAATAAGGTATTACGTCATTATAATAATTAAAATACTATTTTACCAAAATATGTTAATTTTTTTAAAATGCTCTTCTAACACAAATTGTTAAGATTTATAAAAGGTATACGTTATCTAAACTAAAATTAATAAAAAAAGTAATTATAAAAACCAATGGTTAACATATTCTTGCAATAAAAAAAAATGTGAGTGTCATGTGACATGATACAAGATAATATCCTATACACAAAGGTGTATGGATTTAACTGGAAAAAAAAAATGAAGATAAGAGACTTACTTTTTTGTATTTATAATATGACAAAAAATATGTCATGTAATATGACACTAATATTTTTCATAAATAAAACTAACTATTAATAAGCAATATACACTTTGGACCCCCATTTTGGCATTTTACTCTGGTCATGAGCATGGACCATGGGTTATGTAGGCCACTGCTATAAGTTATAACACAATGGGTCTGAATTTGTCACCTACCAGTGCTACCACCAAAGACGTTCACATGGTAGGCCATAAAATGAGCAGGCGTGGACCCTGGCCCTCCTCCTAAAAAGTTTTAATGATATACATGTAATTTTCTTATAAATAAAATATAAAATATAAAATTGCGGTTAATACTTACTTTAACTTTTCTTGCATATACTCATGGTAGTTAAAATCTGGATTTAAATCTTAAAATCTCGATTTTAACGATTTATTTTTGCTAAAATGATTTAGATTTCACTTAAAATCCTTTTCAATATGACATTTCGATTTAGACATTTACCTAAATCTCGATTTTAAGATTTAAATTCCAATTTTAACTATTGAAATGATGTTAAGCAAGTTAGAAAAATTGTTGAATATAACATTGCTGATGTTTCATCCGAAGATGAATGAATTGTGAAAAATGAAGGAACTTTATCTCATGATGAAAGTTTAGATGAAGACAATTTTGAATGATGTAATTGAAGATCACGTAGAACAGAATGTCTTCGATGATAATAACTTGAATGATTTATTAGCTTAGACCCTTAGAGTGTGACAATTGTATGCAAATGTATAAGGATTGTGACAGGTAGTCTATTTTTCCTTAATTTTTTTTTATACATAAGCATATGTATATAAAAATTTAATTTTAGAGTGCAGCTAAAATCTACGATTTGTATTACAATTTTTTATTCCCTTTTCGATTTTAGGTAAATTCCCGATTTTGACTACCTTGCCTATACCTAAATATTTTTATCACTTCAACTTAATTTTAATTTTTCTTTAATAAATCATCAAAATTGTTCACTTTCAACTTGTTAAATGTTTTTTTTTATCCCTCCCCAAATTCTATTTAGTCAAATTGGGACTCGACCCCACGTTGACCCTCTAAGCAAAGTGCCTTTTCTGAAATGGAAGCCTCCAACCTGCGATGTGTTGGGATGGGAGCGGAGTTAGAACTTGCGTATCAAGCTGAGATTTCATTACTTAAAAAAAAAAAAGATTTCATAAAATGTTTGCAAAAGCCCTCACATCACACGTTAATAATGTTGGAGAGACTGATAAAAATGGACCACCAACATAACTGCATTAAAAAATTAGCACTGGCGTTAAATAATAGAACCATAACTATCAAAATTTTTTTTTTTATAAAAACTTAAATGACGTGGATACAAATTTTCGATACATCTGGTCGGTAAGATACCACTAATCAGCATACTGCATACTCAATATATCGGAACATAGAAAACTAGAAGCAAGCATTATATTAGCGACAAAATAAACTTGCACTAAAATTATCATTATCATTGTTGTATCTAACTAACCATTCGCACTTGGAAAACCTAAAACTGTTTATATGGTATTGGGATTTCCTAAGACTAGCTACCCTCCAACCAAATGAGATTATATACTATATAGTCCTTTTATGCTATCCTCCCCACTTCTTTAATTTAAATCTCCAGCAGGAAATTTCCTCCTCCAACTTAGACTCACCTCTATGATTTTCGTGCTTTAATTTTTATGAACTGATTGGATCCAATGGCACGTTGATAATGGTCTTCACGCTTCACCTCCAACAGCTTTAGTTTATAACTTTATATGCTGTTGGCCCATGTATCTTTACCCAAGTTTCTTCTTTGATTTTGGGCCTCTGGTCCTTAAATTGCCCCTAAAATAACATGGAAGTATGGAACCACGTTATCCAAAATTTTAAAACTAATAAATATAAAAAATTGTTTAAAATTATAAAAAAATACATATAATCAACAATTAATTCAAGTAAAATTTTAAAAATATAAATTAAATAATAAAAATATTTCAAATTAAAAAAAATTGAATTTAAAAGTCACAAGAACATAAATTAAGAGTGACATGTGTTATTTGAAAAAAAACTAAGAGAATAAAAAAAACACTCAGTATAATTTATTCTAATTAATTTGATACACAATATTGAATTATAGTTAATTTTAATTGCAGCACTTTGATAGACATTGTTCTAAGACTAATCATTCAAACACGATTGCAACTAGTTATTAACTTATAAGCATTCTTCAAAGTTTAAACTTTGAACCGAATTATATTATTTTTATGGGAAAAGTGTTTGTCATTTTAAATGACAGAAAGTTATGTTATTTTAAGAGATCTATAGATACAGAAAATTTAAATTTTAAATTAAAAAAATCACCCACTTTCTCTCTCCCATGATTTCCGTTTTTCTGTGTCTATCTCTCTCCTAAAATGACATAACTTAAGTTATTTAAAATAACAAACATCAAACTCTATTTTTATTTGGGGAGAAATTTTGAGCCAGACAAGTTTCTTCAAAAAATATACCAATTGGTTAATAAAAAAATTAAATGTTCGGTCACAAGTAAAGAAAAGAGAATATTTTGTGAGAATGGTTTTTTTTTTATTAGATATGACTTATGAGAAGTAAATTTCAGAGATCAAATTTTACCTGGTTGCTTGATATTCTCTTTGTAGACATTATCTATAGTTGTTACTTGATATGAGAAGTAAAAAACTGTACAAAATAATCAAAAGATTGAAATCGCACATTAGGTGCAGTATAAAAAATATATATAATTAAGTCAATTATTTATTCATCCTAAAGTTTTCACTATCCGCCACTACTTCGAGGCTCTGTATTGGGGGACTTTGACCAAAGTAACACCTTTTGACTAATATTTTACCGGTATGCCACCTTACATTTCGAATTTTTCAAAATGCCACGTTTCAATCCCGCTACACCAACCAGCGATATTGTCAAATGACACGTGGCGGTCAGCCATGGTGATCCATTCCCGCTGGTATGACAAGCTAGAATGGCTTGTCAATCAACCAGTCTGCACACTTTGAAAAGCAGGACACGTGTCACCCTCTCACTATTCGCGCTGGTCAACCAAGCTAGATTTGTTGTACTTTCGGACACGTGTCAGCACCTCCTTAATCGCGCTGGGCTGCCTAGCTGGTTTGGTGCGTACTTTCACGACACGTGTCAGCACCCCCTATAATAAAAAAATTACATTTTTATCCTATAATTTTTTATTAACGCTACTAATAAAAAAATATTAAATATAAATACAAAACCTAATTACAAATTACGATAATTAACAATCCTTAAATAATATTAAACTAATTATTGTAATTAACATTAACAATGTCTCTTATCTATAATTTGTTTATTAATAAATGCTAATAATCACAACAATATTAAAAAAATACTACCCAAATTACTAATTACAAAAATTTTAAACCGTAAAATTTACTTATTCTTTTTTTTTGGTGTGGAAATTTACTTATTCTACTAATTTATATAATAAAAAATAATTAAATTTTTATCCTATAATTTTTTATTAACAAATGGTACTAATTAATAAAACTAACTAATTATATTTAACATTAACAATGTCTAGGGACCTGTTTTGTTAATTATAATAGTTAGTTTAATATTATTTAGGGATTGTTAATTATCGTTAATTATAATAGTTAGGTTAATATTATTTAGGGATTGTTAATTATCGTAATTAGTAATTAGGTTTTGTATTTATATTTATTATTTTATTAATTAGTACCATTTGTTAATAAAAAATTATATGATAAAAATTTAATTATTTTTTATTATATAAATTAGTAGAATAAGTAAATTTACACACCAAAAAAAAGAATAAGTAAATTTTACTGTTTAAAATTTTTGTAATTAGTAATTTGGGTAGTATTTTTTTAATATTGTTGTGATTATTAGCATTTATTAATAAACAAATTATAGGATAAGAGACATTGTTAATGTTAATTACAATAATTAGTTTAATATTATTTAAGGATTGTTAATTATCGTAATTTGTAATTAGGTTTTGTATTTATATTTACTATTTTTTTATTAGTAGCGTTAATAAAAAATTATAGGATAAAAATGTAATTTTTTTATT